ATTGCCTAAGTCAGCCTAAGTCAACATGAGCGTTTCCATACACACACACACACCGAGCGGATTGTCGTTTCTGCGGAAGAAGTATCAGCAATTCATTGGGTTTTTAGTTCAATTCTAACATGTAAAAACGAGGAATACCCACATATCATTCATTACTGATGGATGCAAATACTGACAAATATGTATCGACAGATTGTATCTGGACTGCACAAAATTCGTCCCGAGGAATAATGTCGTTCTGATCCATTATACTGACTAATTGGAAATCGGATGAAATGTCACCATCCCTTGTTTTGGAGTGAATGTAAAATTGACTTTGACATTCGGTGAAAGCAGAACGTGAAAAAATTCACTCTGCTGTTGAATAAGGGGACAATAATCGTGGACGGAAATGCACACACGCAGCCTGTTGTGGATGTTTTTTGTTCTCGATGTTGACATGCAATCAGTATAGTGTCAACATTACTATAGCAATTCCTGTCGAGAACACCGCTTTTCAGGGCACAACTTTGAATACAGAAGTCACAAACTTTTTTTGCACAAATTACCCGGAGTCATTTCAATGCATCTGCTACTTGCAAGTGAACAATTGTAGCAAAATATTCATTGTGCGAATCTGCGCTCACAACTGTTTTATGCAATCTCTGTCATTTGGCTTTAAGGGGAGTTTTTATCTTGATTAAGGAGTTGGTTGTCCAATCGGTCACAATGCACAAAGCACAACTTCTGTCCTCTTAGTGTTTTGGAGGTTTTCTGCGCATTTGAATCCCATATGGTGCCTGTGCTATTCAAACGGAGGAGGTTTCACCAAGATAAGAAATGGGTTGTTTAAGTATACATTTCATCGATGACCGAGGTATATCATGATCATGTTTATCGCATTGATTCCGATGCGTCGACCACCTACATGTCATTTCCAATCTAAATAGTTTCCAGTGATGTAGGTCACTGATATGCACACCACTGTACGAAATGTCAGAGGTTCAAGATTTGCCATCACCACCCCCACTCCCTATTGGTGATATACGGCCTCACAATCAGCTGCTGGTTGTACCTGCCAAACATTTACTAAATACAGGGTTTTATTTAGTTTCATATTCTACGTCTCGGGGTCGTGGATTTCTAATTTCTAAACCTGAGCAGCAGGTTTTCGTGAATCAAATGTTCACCTCTTTCTATCATGTAAACCACACACGTCGTTGTGAAATAGATTGATAATCACCATTCATACGATAGTGATCTTTGACTTGTTCAACCTCATTCATCTGCGTGACTGTAACCCAGCAACTCTTTTACTCAATTTTCCTCATTGGAATCGTAATGGAAAATCGCATAAATCCATCATTCTATTTGTACAGGAAATTCCATTTCGCCACATCTGGAGTGGAACACAAATGGCAATGCTTCATTGCGCCTTCTCATTGGAGCATGTAGATCCGGCCTATTCCAGCGTGTCCTGTCACATTCTGGTGTATCAGGAGAACACCAACACCGGCTGTCAAAGTCAACATCAGTTATTGGAGATCATGAGCGAAAATGCCGAGGTAAATCACCCCCTCCGCCCCCGCGTCTCTGAAGGATGATTTGCAGAGCGCATTTGTTCCGACTGTCTGCTCAATTCACCAATGATAGAAACGGAAAATAGTGAAACAGCATAAGAACAGCTTACACTAAGTGGGGTACCGAACAAACCGTTAATCCGGAGAAAAACATACTCAAATTGTCTACCTAAAGAGTTTGGTGCAAAAAATACTCAGGCTAATCCACTCGACTTATGTAGACTGTGGATTATCAGCGAATTCCATAAGATCGGTGAAACTTGGTAATTTATTTGAGGCAACTGATAGCAATTACAATAGACGCGACATTGGGATTCTCTATACAAAAAATCGTTCGAGGACAAACACTGAATGAATAACAAGACATATCCAGGAGAATACTTATCTGGTATAAGGTACCCCTATTTAATTAATAAAACTAATAACTAAAGGGGGATAAGTGGAAAACGTACCAGGAATGATTGTATCAAATCCTCATCGCTAGTAGAAAAGAGTGGACTAAAAAAACGACAAAAGAACGCACGTTATTCACCTACTGAAGGGAAAATCATTCACAAGTGATTCATACACCTTTCAACTCTATAGAACTAGCACTCTATAGAACAGGTGCAAACCATTTTCGGGGTTAGATGAAATGACAATTTCTGTTTTTTAAGCATAACTCCGTTGTTTTTAAAAACTCAAGTCACTTGTTTTGCTACACATTGCACTTAAACAACCATATTTCCCCATATAATTGACAGCGCCCAAACCCTTTGTTCCCACGATCGGCACCGGGAACACGATCTGGGCCGTACGTGGAGGATCCAATATCAACAACACCTATTCAACCATTCCGGTTAGTCATACGTTTTCCGTGTGTGTGTATACATATACTTGTCCAATTAGTACATTCAAAGCTGACAAACGATTATTTCCATTTTTTACTGCCCTCGCCCCATGACAGAGCACACAGCTGTTCCATACCCACCGATTCCCGACTATTAAAACAGGCACACATACACATTCACCACAGTCATGTTCGCTATTATTATTAATATTATCATCGACTGTTCAATTTAATGTGCATACTATGGGATTGTCCAGTGGACCACGTCCCGAAAATTCCCACTCCAAACTAGGTTGAGTTGGAGGTAACGGACCAAGAACCATCACCATTAATCATGAACGAGGTGTTTCTGTCAACCCTGACATATGCGCTCAATAAGCACGTCGTTGTCGTACCGGGAGACGTACTTCTCAGGCTTTGTGGTGGATGACTGTCCTTCTGAATGAGCCGGTAAAAAGGGGACGTTATCGAATCGTGAAATTCAGGCGGCACGCGATTGTCTTTGCTCCGTCCGTGTGAACAGGCTAAGGTCAAAAAAGGTGCTCAGACGAGATTCCCTACACACTTCAAACCCGACTCGAGTAAATTAGTTAGTGTGAAGTTGTCGTAGCACACCGGGTTACGATTATTCCGTTCCATAGTTTAGACAAAAAGCAATCCGTTGTGCTTGCGGACAGTGGCCATGGCGAAATGAACAGCAAATAATAAACGTGCAATAGACATGATAAAGAATTTTTTAAATTCATTCATTCAACCAGAAGTGTCCAGTGAGTTGATCGAAGTCCCTCGAACTCATAAATATGAGTACTAACCCAGCAAAGTTGAGTATGAGGTGTAAGCGTGTCAGTCAGATGCCAGAGGTCCTGTCAGTATGCATCAGATCCTTGTGTAATCCTTGTCTGGTGGTGGCTGCCAACATTTGTACAGTGCTGTCATCACATCAGTTCTGGAGCATAAGAATAGTTGTTGTGGTCAACAAATAGGTGCAAAAAACGAAAGCGTGGAACATACAGACAGACAGACCGACAGAGGACTGTGCTTATGTGCTTGTGCGTTAGAGTTCGATTCAACAAATGCCAAGAAGCTGAAATTTCTACCTAAATCTGTTCAAATATGCCCATTACAGGGCCCCAGGATTAACGGCCCTACAGTAAACATGTGCACATTTGAGGGAAAGCTATCAGACCGGATGGGTTTGTGACCTAATCATTTCAGGAATGACTGATCACCTATTTCTGTAATTACTAGTAGGTAATAAGGGAATTCATGGGTTAAATGTATAGTCTTCTATTTTGACAAGATAATGAAAAAATCAGATATGTTGATGAATACATTCAGCAAGTAATGGGATATGTATCGTTAAATTTCGCCAATTCCACCAAAAGCAATCTCTTAGAATTTCCTCTTCATTGTATATTTTTGACAACAGATTTTCACCCATCTTCCCATCGTGAAATCACTTTGCTACTGAAGGAAAGCTTTAAAAGACACCTATTAATTTCGATATTTAAAGGCCTTGAAATATTTTATTTCAAGGAATTATTTCCCATTTGGATCAAGTAATCTATCAACGAAAAACGGTCGTGTATTTTGTTATTGATCGAACAGAGATATCGCCAAACCGTTCACCTTACCGTCAACGATTCTGTCGCTCAACTTACACTTGTTTCCATTCTCGTGATTTATCCACGGTTTCCAACTAACCTAATGAGTAAAATGACAAATAGTTTACCGAATATAAAAGGCAGTTCTTATTGATGAAATATTGGACCTAGATGGAATCCTTTAGGTGGAGTCCGGAGATGGTCTTCTGTCGGCTGAATGGACTAGAAACGCCAGGGATCAGTGAAGACTTCGGACAAGCGCCAGTCAACAAACGACCACCCCGAAATCAACAAAAGACCACGCTTACAAACTCACAAAATTGTCGACAAGCTTGAATGCACCGGGTCATTGCCCTGTCTGGACTTTTCATCCGGACAGAAACAGTACCATTACCAGAAGCATTGAGAACAATAGGCACGAATTTCCCGGTCAACCGAGAGAGCAGTCATATCTGAGTTAGCAGGTGAACAGAACGGCGCCTGGTGAATTAGATAAAGCTCCACTCCCAACCGGATATATCGGGGAGTGGGTTGAGTTAGTGGGGGATGCATTGATGGAGCGGAGGCAGATGAGTGAAGGTTGAAGGCAAGATAACAGTCCCGTGTGATTGTTGAGAGAAAAAATTTATCCACGGCACGACAGAGATACATACAAGCACACACGTAAGCACCCAGACAAAAACGCACACTTTGTGGCACAAAAGAAATCCTTGTTGCCGAATCGTTTAAGGTCGCTGAGTTCCGCGAGCCAGCCAGATTCCAAGGTGAATTGTTCAAGCGAAAATCAAGTCATTTGGGCATATGTGCAAGCAAAAGGAAACCGATAAATCGAAAGTTACTCACCAATTAATCATCATCGACAATAATGATCCGGGATAGGAGGTTGTGACTCATCCACAAGTTGTCGAAATGCTACATCCGAGCACCGGAACTCGGGACTAATGCAAGTCGGTGATGTATTTGATTTTGTTACACATGAACTCGCTCTAACTCTCGAGAACTGATCTATATTCTATTATCAAAAGTTTGAACAACCAAACAGGAACCAGCAGATGAGATAAAATATATACTTGGAAATCTATTCTGGCAGAGGATAGTTTATAGTTTCTCTCATTAGTGTAATTGTGCTTATTCTTTCCATACAAAAATGGCCGATTAAAAACCGTTTAAGACTTAAATTTTTTATAAAAGTTCGCCAATTGCAATGCATAACCAATCTACAACCATCAGATTAAATTGGACGTGTGTCTTCTCTGTTTCTTTGAATCAGACTTCCTTGGTCAGTCCGACGTCGAATTTGCGAATCCATGGAGCATTCGACTACGCGCGAAAATGACTGGCGTGTCTTAGCTGTTCAACTAGGAATGGAAAGGTGGGTGAACATGATCGTGCAGGTTGCTCAGGGAATTTTGTTCGTTCTATTATTGAACTGAGGAGCTCAAGTGGTAACTTCCGAAGCCGCAATTTATTTATATTGAGTTATGCAGTTATTTGACAAATTCTACCGGGAACATTGAAATCATACAGAATTTTTCTTGTTTGCAGGCACATAATCCAACTGGCAACCAAGAACAGTCCAACTAATAGTTTGTTGGATTTATGGGAAGCTCAGCATCGACATGGTCAAGGTTTGGAAGAACTGAAATACAAGCTGATCAATATTGGTCGAATAGATTGTGCGAACATTATCGAGTTTGAGACAGCTCAGATTTGGGACAAACGATGATATTCGGAGACTATCAGTCTGAGGTGTTTGTTTGTTCAGCCGCTGGGAGAATACACATTCAATGTCATCAGTCATGGTGAAATTTCCGCTCCAAGGAACCTGTTTGAACATTTGTCATGCAGAAAATAGATAGGACTATCTCTTTGCCAATTCTTACGAAACCGAAGCACTCTGCATGGATAGCTGTGGATTACGCGCTACTTTAGCGCAAAACCTCTCTATTTGCGTCAAAGTACATATTCTCGCCAAACTTACCCGACGTGTAAGTTTGGAGATTTGATGTCTTGGCTTCGCCCCCCCCCCTGGACGACAAATTATCCAAGACCGTAAATCCGAAGNGAAGTCTTTCCAAATCAACTTTTCAGTTGGTTCCATTACATACACACATCAGTCATTTTTTTCCTTTATCCCTTCCATGCCTGACAGAAATAAGAAATTAAACCGACCAGTTGACAACTGCTTTTCTTTGTTTACCACAAATCCATATTCAGACAAAAACTCAAATTTGTCCTGCTGCATTTAAATCTTCCTGGCGAGAAAAGAGGATCCGTGGATTTCCGCTCCTAATCACACCCTCTCGCACCCTCCTCCCTATTCATCAGTCGTTGTTTCAGAAGCATCTTGACGAAGAAGACTGCAAAACAATTGCAGTACCATGCCTTCTCTCGTGTGAGACTGATCTAAACACTGGATTCTTGACTCATTTCATCGTATCGGTTGTATTTCTTGATGCGAGCTTATCGATCTCTCATTTGCTCCCCCCCCCCGCTCCTCACACACGCCGGCTCTCTGATAGTCCCCATTGTTTTCCATCATGGAGTATAAACAACACCAGAGAGGGTAGGGCGAACAAAAAAACACTCAGGAGTGGCCAAACTGATCACAGAACCACAACAGCAAGAAATTTCCTCCATTTATATGCCCTCTCAATTTGTGTGTACACACCAATGGATGCCTCTATCTATTGACACGCACACACATACACAGTAGTGTTTGGCTTGCTCCTCACTTCCAAGGTCAAATTGAATACAGATCTGTCGCATACGCAGCTCTCGCTTTCAATTTGCTCCTTTTTCCCTTGTGTAACGAATCCGTGGTCACTGCATCTGTGATCAGTTCCCGCAACAATGTAAAATTAAACNAACGGTGTGGATGCAGTTATCACTCTCTGTCGCTTTGACACAGTTGCGAAATGCGAAAACAGACAACCATGCAGACACAGACAAATCCAAATACTCACTTTTTGTACAATCACGGGTTGTCAATAATCTAATAATGTTATCATTATCTGCTTCTTAAATTTGCGTTCTGTTTCTCTCCCTATCTCTCTCTTTTGTCACGCTTGTACCAGTCATCGAAACAGGCCAGAGAACATGTAGCTAACTAGAAGCCAGGGCTCCAACTAAGACAGACAGACGGCCAGGATTATTCTATTTCAGTGCCAAAAGGAACAATCAGGACTAGGTCATTTATCAGAATGTGAGCGCTTTCNCGCTTTCATATCCAGTTGATAACCTCATGTTAAGAGATGAGCTTCGAAGACCAATCTAAGATTATTCGGAGGAGCAATGTGTGTGTGTGTCTCTGTGTGTGAGTGGAGTCGCTCGATATTCCCAAATTTCCACAGGTGCAAAGACCAACGTGGTGGAACATCCATACTCGGTTCACATGACAATGAGAGCTAGTGATCCCCGGAGGTAAGATATTTTTCTTGGGTTCACTGCACATTTTCATTTGTGGTACATTTGGAGTCAAAACGTCCTAGATACTTTCGATGTGCGAAAGTTTCAAGTGCATCAGATGATTGGATTTAAGTCGTGGGTATCAAATCCTAGCCCGCCTCTTTTTCTCAATGCCATGGACGGACAAAGGGTAGGACTATCCAATCAGGAACTGTACATGAACTGATCGAGATCATCCCAAGCATAGCACGGTTTAATTGATCTACTAGAAGGCCACATCTTGAACAATGAACGAACGGGAAATTTTCAGTCGAGGGACATTGAAGGTTTCCTCTAAGGCAAACTCAAGGCGCCTCACTACCAATACAGCAAACACATTTTGTGAAAACTTTTCTACTGAGATTTTGAGACACCAACTTCAGGAACAGCGGTTATACTCAAATAGATTTATGTATGGTACAGTAACTGCTAAAACTGATTCACAGTGAAGGATACGTATACCCAGCTTGTTCAAATTTTCCGGAGAACTTTTATTATAACCAAAGAAAGAAAGGTACCGGAAGGTGGAAGGTCATAATCAGGTATTTTGCTTTGTTGCTTTATTTTGAGGGCAAACTCTAGGATGGTTATAGAGGGAAGACTTTTGCCCTGGGGTATCCAAATGTCGGTGATAAACGCACTTTTTGCCAAAATCGCCAACTGTAAATCTACTTTCACTCCGAGGCTTCGCACCATCAGCTCAGAATATTTCAAGTTAGCCGAAGCCGACTGCACTATTACATGAGACAGTTTATCGTTACACGAGCGCAGAACTCTTAAGATGCATCATGAAGGCCAGACAGATGTTTTCACTTTATCGTTCCTCGCCCATAGGTTTACTGTATTTTTTGAGTTCTTGTGATGGTTACGAAAATGGAGATTTTCTAGCGCAAAATCAGAATATGGAAATAAGGGGTTCAAGCCAAGGGATCATCTACTATTTCAGTCTTTCAGGATGGAGTAGATGGAGAGGGAAGTTCAAAATCGCAGGTGATCATCAACGACACCCATGGCGTGGAAGACTAAACAAAGGGATGTTAGCGGTGCTAAACGCTCTCGATTTTCAATTCACCTGATCCCGATCCAATGGAATATTCGTGGGATGAGCTATGAAATCAAATGGACCTGAGTCAGCAATATAACTCTCTCTGGGGAGGTGAAGACTGCTTTGAGAGAGAAGTGGAGTCGTGTACCCAAAAATAATACCAGACGTTTAGTACTGAGTAGTACTCGAGGGGTAAATTTGTATTTGTATTTGTATAACTTTTGATTGCATATCATTCAAGTTGGGTAAAGGAGTGTATTTTAACGAATAGTATACTGATCTCTCGATAAAACCGAGGTTGATTGACCTTCAAATGCCTTTTCATTAGATATACATCTTTGCTCTGTTTCCTCACTGACATATTGCAAATAATGTTCCAATTATTACCCTTGGAATAGAATGAGCTTCATTGAGCTAATCAATGAGTTACATGCAATAAATCATGTTAAATAACCGCCCGATGCAATTTGCTTAAATGAATTTTTCTTTTCCAACCCCTTTTACGAGTCAATCGGATTGCTCATGTACGAAGTGTCCCAACACTGAGCTAAATAAGATGAATGATCATGTAAACAACTTTGCTGCAGACTTTCCATCTATAGTCTGCAACATTGGATTTATATAAGCTTGAATCAAAACTCAAGCCCAACCTGGGTGAGTGTCTTTGCGCAAGCGAATCAAACAGAAAATAAATTTGTCCATGAGTCACTATAGACTAGGGGACACTTTCGAATGTAGTATAAATCTTTGTAATGCCCGACACAAGAAGCTCTAGGCAGCTGTTTCGTCTTGCATGAGACTCATCATTAGCAATGCGTAACTTTCATTTCCATGTCAGGACTTGAACTGCCAACCTCCGGGGTTGAAAGTTGGCACACAGATAGACTGAAAGTCTCATCCAAGGTCATTAACAGTTCTGGATACCTGTGAAACACTAAATGGGCTAACTCAGGCTAACTCAAATAGTGGTTGTAGTATGAGTAACATGCACTGAACAAGAAATACGAATCACGGAATAGGCATCACGGATTAGCAGTCAAGGACGTCACATAAGCACTGGATCACGCGTACGCAGTATCCCACGTAACCGAGATGCGAGGAGAAGGTTACCGGAGAGGTAATTCGTTTATTGAGATAAATAAGGGGGGTTAAATAATATGTACAAAAGAATTTAATTGGTCACCTGGGCCTCTGTCAATCTCGTTCTAGAATTGCTGCCGTTGTTCAGCTTCTATCTGGGCCGCACGGTTTCTGAATGGCTGGTACAATCGACCTATGGTACGTAGTCCAGGAGTTGTGACAAGCACACGCTTTCCTGACGTCACCTGGGAAGCTTGTTTGACCACAGTTGTCAGAAAACTGTAACGTGTCGCTCCAGGGTATGAGTCATCTCGTAAACCAGGATCACTACAATTCATCGTCTAAAAGCTCACTTAATACTTTTGCTTTTAAGATACCCTAAAGATCCGACTGGCTTTAGGTTACGGTGCCACATACGGGGGAAATAAGAACCTACAGCTGTCTGTTTGCCTTTGTTGCCTACCTCATGGGTGGGTTGCAGACATCAGGCGAAATTTACGAATGCTAGAGCACTTATTGTAACCACTAACGGAAAAGATGATCTTCACTGCAAGAACGTTCCAGTTTGATTAGAATCACTTTTACTGATATAGACAAGGATGTTTTGGTTCTCTCAGGGCTCGGAAACTTGACTGCAAATATGTGCTCATTGATATTCCACATTCTGTTATTTGGTGAAAGCTCACTCACTTCCTATTTCCTTCAGTTAAACTTTTATGATGCAATCTTTGTTCTATCTCTGAGTTTCGAGATAATAAAGAAAAACCAATAAGTTAAGTATCTTATCATCAGTCACTCGTTCTGTTTTTCGAATAGGATTATGCGGCTTGACCCCGTTTGTTTCGCCGAGTTTGGCGCCCGAGTCAAATGAGAGTGGTGCGCGCTTGATCAATTTGGATGTGCCAGTGAACTGATGCATTTGAGGAATACCCAACAAAATCAATGAAATAAACTCCCCTGGGTATTTGGTTCGAGTGTGGTCGGCGAATTGAATGTTTCTGAAATCGGGTTTATATCCTTGCTGTTATTTGTACATTAAAAGAGGAGCGAGAGCACATAACCTAGCTGCTCGCCATTGCTTGCCTACTCACACAAGCGAGCGTTTAGCTTCGCGATCCACACACACACACACACACACACACACACACCCATCA